ATTGTTGTGACTTAGATGACGTTCAGAGCACATTTTATGCCCAATTCATGCAAAACTCCACGTAATCCCAAGGGGTTCACATACTTTTTCTTGTAACTGTATAAAAATGTAGTGGCAATTGTCATGAATAAAACTCAACACTTTTTTAGGTCACAGCCTATTAGAGCGGAGACTGCAAACCAGGCCTTCTCGTCCGACATCAGTGCCTGACCTCTTCTGGAAGAATGGTCAAACATTCCCAGAGACACACTCCTAAACCTTGTGGACAGCCTTCCCAGAAGAGTTGAAGCTGTTATAGCTGCAAGGGGTGGGCCAACTCAATATTGAACCCTATGGACTAAGACTGGAATGCCATTAAAGTTCAGGTGTGTGTAAAGGCAGGCGTTCCAATACATTTGGCAATATAGTGTATCTAAGTCTATACAGAATTGGTAAGCTCCATTCACACAAGTCACACAGAATTGTATGACAATGGAAATCACAAGATGGTGTTATTTTGCAAAAAAGCTCCTGTACTACTTTGGTGTGATTCTAGCATGCTTTTGGTCCAAATCATGTTAGAATTACACCAAAGTAGTACAGGAACCTTTTCCAAATTCACACCATTGAGTTGGATTGATGTGAATGGGCACCGCAAAAGAGTTGCAAAAGCATCCACGTTGCACTACATAACTGCACTGAAAATTGGATATAAATGGATTGAAGCAGCATGAACCTAGCCTAAGTGCCCCTAATGCAGTAACAGTAACTTGTCAACCATTTTTCTGCACCCCAGTTCCTATTTTTTTGTGTATAGGATGTGGAAACAAGGCTACACGACTCATCTATACATGAAAACATAGGAATTGGAGTGCAGAAAAAAAGCAGCAAGTGCTCTAGTCTAATGAGTCAAAATATGAAATATTTGGCTGTAGCAGGAGGTATGTGTTCGCAAATGGCTGAAAAGCCGTACAATAATGAGTGTCTGCAGGCAGCAGTGAAGCATGGTGGAGGTTCCTAGCAAGTTTGGGGCTGGATTTCTGCCAACTGAGTTGGAGATTTGATCAGGATTAATGGTGTCCTCAATGCTGAGAAATACAGGCAGATACTTATCCATTATTCCATACCACCAGGGAGGCGTGTGATTGGCCCCAAATTTATTCTGCTGCAGGACAGTGAAAAGAAGAACCAGTAACAAATAAGCAAGATTCATCATAAATTTAACGTATTGCTGATCCAGTATAGTTTTCTGTTCTTGATGTAACTGCTTTTCTTGCAAATCCCTTTTCACATTCCCCCCCCCATTTTCAGTGTAAAGAAGAAACTGGAGAACTGGAAGTGATGGTTTGGCCTCTACAGAGCCCCGATCTCCTGGAGTCTGGCTTACATAAAGAGACAGAAGAATTTGATGCAGCCTACGTCCACAGATAATCCATAGTTAGTTCTCTACTTGCAAAGTTCCTTCTTTTGTTCATTTACTTTCCATTTTGTTAATTGCTAAAATTAAAATATTAACACTTCTATTTCTTAAAGCATTCCTAATTTAAAGGATTTTGTAACACCTGTCTAAAACTTTTGCACAGTACTGTATATACAGTATACTTATGCAGGATTGTGACCAGTGTATATGTGCAAGACATGTGTCAGCATTTTTTTCTTTCTGAAGGTTTGCAGGTGATAGGTACTTCCCCATGTCAAGGGCAAGTAGCCTGGTATAATGCAGGAAGTGGGGGGGGGGGGTACATTCTTGTCTCCCCTCTTCATAGCCAGCCACTTGAATGGGCTGAAATTGTGCCAGACTGCACCAAAAGTAGTGCATGGACTACTTTAAAAAATGCGCATCAACTGGATCACATGGTATTACTGTATCATGCGATCTGATGCAGGCAATGCACTACATTTGCAACCTACGTTTTAGGTGTTGTCAAGTTAACATTGACACCCGATGCAAAATGCAAATGCAGTGTATTTTTAATGCGGTGTGGGAAACAAGCACAGCACGTGGGTTTCCCACGGCCATTTCTGGTGTGAACTGGCCCTTAGTCCAGATTAGCGAGATTTTGTTCATATCTGCAGAAGGTCCCACCATAACTGGGACAGTTGGTAAGTATGAATTTATAATAGAAGGACAAAGGATTTGTGTTTTTAGAGTCTGTAATGGGAGGGGGGTTGGATGGGAGGATTTGTGAAAGCACTGGGGAGCAGACTTGTGCTGGCGTGGGGGATTTGGGGATGGGGGGCAGGGTTTGTCCTGGAGGGTTTTGAAGAGGGGGAAGAAGGGTTTCTGGATGGAGGTTAGGGCTGACTTTGTGCTAGAAGTGGGGAGGTGATTTGTGCTGGGAGGAAATTTGGGGGTGGGATATTTGTATCAGGATGAGTAGTTATGCTGGGAGGGGGGATTTGGGTGGTGGAAAAGAGGGAATAGAGGGCGCCCGGGCACAGCACAGGCCGGATCTTTCTCTGTCTGGGACGCCGCCACGTCATGAATGATCCTTTAGCTGAGGGGAGGAAGCAAGGACAGAGGAAGATGCTGGGTGTCTGGGCTGAGCTGCCACTCCTTCCAGTGTTCCTTTCAGACTCAGTCCCTTACTGCAAGCTGGCTGGCGGCTGCTGATCACTGTGGATTTCCAGACCTTCTCTTCTGTTCATTTTGCATTTTCCTTGCAAGTGAACAGCCTATTTACCTTTGGTAAATCAAACTTCTGCTGGAGCTGCGCCTGCGGAGGAAGGTAATGTCTGACTCTGATGTCTTGTGTCTTTGTGAGTGTGAACCAGTTGGCCGCCCATCCATTACATGTGCAATGTGTCAGTGAGTGATGACATCATCACGACCTCACAGCCTGCTCTTCTAGTGCCTGCTGATCTGTGTCAGTGTTGGTGGTGGTGTGTTGTGTTGGATCTGTCACTGTGTGGGATAACTCAATTGAGGTGTTCTCTCTGTATCTGTGGGCTGGGCTGCCTGCTGTCACAGCATTTTATCTCCCCCCATTGCCTGAGGAATTCCAGACTGGGATCTGTCAGAGGGTGGATCCTACATCCTCCACTTACTGCAACTGTCACCCTGCCACTGCCAGCCACAGATACAGTCCATCCATCACACTGATTTTATCTTCAATATTGGTGCTGGTGGCAGTTTCATGTTTTGTTGATTTAATATTTTCTACTGTTTTTAAAAAAAATTAGGTTTTTTTTTTTGGGGGGGGGAGGTGCAAGTAGCTGGTCTTGCCTAGGATGCAAAATAGTCTAGCACCAGAATTGTTGGTCGAGGAGGCGCATTGGACACCTTAACTGCCATTGTGCTACATGCTGGGTGTCCAGTGCTCTCCTGTACCTTTAAGGAGGGGTGGGCTCCCTCAGGTTCACCTGCCCTTGGTCTATCCATTAAATACATGTGCCTCTACTATGGGGGCTCTTAAAATTTGTAGAGTTAGGAACTACAGAATACTGGGGTGCCATGACGAGGCTCTGTAGCTTACTCAAGTATTTGCAAATGTGTGCTAACTAAACCCCTGTTTTTAACGCATACTGCTAGACAGGTTAATTTGGTTTGTTTACAAGCTGGCTGGCAAGTTGAGCTGGGAATTTTTCTGTTTTGTTGTTTGATATAAGTACAAGGAAGCCCGGGTTTTGTTTAATCATGCCCCTTAAGCTCCTTCCACTGTTAGGCATTTTTTTGCTGCGGCACTCATAGCGCACAGCAGGATATGTCCTCCCTCGAGTATCCCTCAATCTGAAATTCAAAAGTTGGGAGGTATGAGTGTGGATGCTTGAGATGTTCCAGATGTATGATTTTTTCCACATAAAAAAAAAAACCAAGCAGCTGCATTTGGAGGTCTTTATACCCCCGCTTACTGGGCAGTGTTGTAGGCACAATTCAGATACTCAACCCAGCCACTGGATCCAGTGTTGTCTTTCTGTCAACAGACACTACTCAGTCCTGCCCTGCATTCTTACTTGTGACATTATCGAGAGGCCCGCTGGCTTTTCTGGGTTAGGCTGTTGGGGCCTCTCGATGATGCGCAGCTAGCCGCACCCCCTCCTACTTACTGAATGAAAGACTAAAGGCCTCCTGTGATATACTGTATGACTTGCATTTCACAAGAGGCCCAGCAAGCACTGTGCATTCTCCTAGGTGAATGATTGGCACGGAGGGGCAGGGGGCATGCTTTTGTTAAAAAAAGAAACAGTGCCCTAATCATGTAGAGGAGGGGAGGGGTCGAGAGGGGAGAACTTAACAAAGAGGGTGACGATCTGATTTTCTGCTAAGATTTGGAGCCGGTGTTCTGCAACTGTTGTATCAGAGACTTGCTTGAGGTACAGTGGCACATTAGGCACATACGTAGACCCAAAGAGTGTGGATGAGCTGGTGTCCCTTTTGGAGTGACATATTCCTACCAAGGGCTATCTTTGGGACTTGCCTTCCAAGCTGGTAAACTCTGGAAACAGGAAAATTTCAACTTCAAAAAAGGAGGGAGGTGAGACACCCATAGGTGCCAGATATGAGTGGCTTACTAGCAAATATGTCCTATTACTAGAAAAGGATACCTGGTAAAGCCATTAGGGTTGATTTAACCACTCACCCTCCCGAGCCATTTTTTGCCATACTGCACTGCGTTATTTTACCTGACAACTGCGCGGTCATGCAACGCTGCACCCAAATGAAATTTATGTCCTTTTTTCCCCACAAATGGAGCTTTCTTTTGGTGGTATTTGATCACCTCTGTGCTTTTTATTTTGTGCAGTAGAAACAAAAAAAGAGCAACAATTTTGAAAAAAAAACCCATTATTTTTGACTTTTTGCTATTAAACGTGTCCAGTAAATTTTTAAGAATCCAATTTCATCATAAATTTAGGCCAAAATGTATTCTGCTACATGTCTTTGCTAAAAGAAAAATCCCAATACGTGTAAATTAATTGGTTTATGTGAAAGTCATAGCATCTACAAATGGTGGTATATATACTGGAGTTTACTTTTTTTTTATACTAGTAATGGCGGTGATTAGCGACTTATAGTGGGACTGCGGGACTGCAGCGGGCAATCTGACACTGGGGGGGAACTGACTAACTGCCACTGACATCCCCAGTGACACCAATACAGTGATCAGTGCTAATAAAAAGCACTGGACACTGTACTAATGGCACTGGGCAGGGAGGGGTTAACATCTGGGGCGATCAAAGGGTTAACTGTGTACTGTGTTGTGTTTTACATTATGTGCTGTGTGTGTTTTTTACTAAGGAGACATGCTGTGCAGAGCAATACAAAGCAGCCTGTTCATGCTGACAGCGTAGAAATCTGTGTTGTTTACACACAGACCTGTCCCCTTTCTCTGTTCCTCTCTGAATGCTGGGTGCCAATGGGAAATCTCCGTCTGGGACCCGGTGATCGACAGCTGTAGTCACCAATGGCGGCATGGGTAGAGTGGCATGCGCGCATGCCCCCTACCCAAGAATGCAAAATCAGGTGTATATATATGTGATTTTGCGCAGCCCTGCCACCCTGTAGCCGTAGTTGTGCTATAGGGAGGCAGGGAAGCAGTTAATAAAGGCAAATAGACTGTTCATTTTGCATTTTCCTTGCAAGTGAACAGCCTATTTACCTTTAGTAAATCAAACTACATCTTTATACTTTGGAAGACTCGTCACCTTGATCCATGCCAGTCTAATGGACTCGGCCAAGCTTGACTCAAACCAACTAGGTGTATTCTGTATACATGGAAATGCTAAAGAAAAAACTACCCTACCGTAGTTCTAACAGTGGAGACCCCTATTGAAACTGTAAAAAATGTAATGGGTGTGGTTAAGAGTTTGCTACACAATGTAATACTGGGCTGTGGTTTCCTTCTGTTTTGGTAAAACAGGTAGCCAGTTCTAAAAATGTATCTGAAGTAAATAATCTTACAATTATGCCTGAACTTTAGAAGGATGTTGGAAGAGGTACCTGACAATCAGAGGTACCTAGCAGTCATGGTTGTAGAAACAGGAAACAACTTCAGTGTCAGAGTGACCAGAGACGATTTTGGAATAGCATAGCTTTGAGATCCCAAGGTGGCTAATGCATGGAAAAATGCAGTATCCCATGACGTACTGTAAAGAAAGAATGGGAGGAAGCAGTGGGGCAGCTGGTAGTATCCCAGTCTTACATGAGAATGGTCTGTATCTGGCCCATTCTTCAGTTGGGGGGTCATTTAAGGATATAAAAAACATAAGAGCGAATTGTGCAGTGTTTTTTTCCAGTGTTCACAAAGCAATTGAAAAGTATTGTAAATTATCAAATTAATACACCCAATCCACATTTTTAAGTCCACTGGTACACTTGACTTATAATTGGGGTCTCTTTTAGGAAGGCTGCTATGGATCTGGGCATGCCAGTGCTGAGGTCCACCAGTGGGCACCAGCACATACTGGTATTCCTTGCTTATGCCACCCAGTATCCAGAAGAAATCCCTCTCAAAAACCCATCTTCTAAGGTTATAGAGAAAAAGTTCAACTTGTTTTTTAGTAAAGGTATTTCTAAGTAAGTTTTGAAAGAGACCTCAAGGAAACTTTCATGTCAAAACTAACAAAAAGCTGTATTGGTCATTAAAATTACACACCTAATGCCAGAAAAAGAAAGCCCCTCCAAATATATCACATAAAATCCTAGAAGGATCAGGAGGCTCTCTTAACAGAAAGCAACCATAAATGACCAGAGAAAAGTATACTTGAGGTTGGAAACAGATTCTGTCTGTTAATCAGATTCAGCAAAGGTGGGAGTTCTTGCAGAAAAATCTAGAGGTGTTTACAGAAATAAACAAAAATGGCAAATGCCCCAAATTATAACTAGCTTTTACAAAAAGGTACACATGGAAGGGCTTTTCATACAGCAAGCAAAAATGTACTAGCACACTTGCCAGCTAGCCAGCAAAAAAAAAACCAATTACACTATCTAACAATTTGCATTAAAACAGAGGTATACTGAAGTCCTAAGTCTAATCTATAAGAGTTGGAGTATATATACAGTATATATTGCAGACCATCTGGTTGGTCTTGCTGTTTAACCCAGGTTCTGATCCCAATTTGATGCAAACAGCCAGTCACAGAATATTTTCAGCCAGTCCTTCACACAGTAATCAGGCAGATAGTGTCTTTTTTTGTTTTTTTATTTGTTTTGTAGAACTGGGATGGGGAAAATGATGGGCTTTGGGATACCCAGAACTAGATGAACTTGATCGACAAAACTATCTACATAGTTACATAGTTAGTCTGGCTGAAAAAAGACAAAAGTCCATCCAGTTCAACCATTAAAGCAAAAAAAAGTTATAATTCTATACTCACAGTTGATCCAGAGGAAGGCAAAAAAAAGCCCAGCAAAGCATGATCCAATTTGCTCCTGCAGGAAAAAAAATTCCTTCCTGATCCCCCCCAAGAGGCAATCGGATATTCCCTGGATCAACTTTACCTATAAATGTTCATATCCAGTTATATTCTGTGTATCTAGGAAATAATCCAGGCCTTTTTTTAAAGCAATCCACTGAGCTGGACAGAACCAACTCTTGAGGGAGTCTATTCCACATTTTAACAGCTGTCACTGTGAAGAAACCTTTCCGTGTTTAGCGATTACATTTCTTTTCCTCCAGACGTAAAGAGTGTCCCCTTATCCTCCATGATGACCTCAGGATGAATAGCTCTACACTGAGTTCACTATATGAACCACTGATGTATTTATACATGATGTTCATATCCTCCCTTAACCACTTGAGCTCAAGAGGATTTACCCCCCTTAATGACCAGGCCTCTTTTTGCTGCTTGGCGCTGCACTAATTCAACTGATAATTGTGCGGTTATGCAATGCTGCACCTAAACGAAATTTACGTCCTTTTTTTCACACAAATAGAGCTTTCCTTTGGTGGTATTTGATCACCTGTGCGCTTTTTATTTTTTACGCTATAAACAAAAAAAGACCAAATATTTTGAAGAAAAACAATATTTTTTACTTTCAGCTATAAAAAATATATAGTAAACTCAAAGTTAGTTATAAATTTAGGCCAAAATGTATTCTGCTACATGTTTTTGGTAAAAAAAAATCCCAATAAGTGTATATTGATTGCTTTGTGTGAAAGTTATAGCGTCTACAAACTATGGTATAGATACTGCAATTTACGACATTTTTTTGCTATACAGCGCTGCGCTAGTTTAACGGACAATTGCGCGGTCATGCAATATTGTACATAAATGAAATTCATGTCATTTTTTTAACACAAATAGAGCATTCTTTTGGTGGTATTTGATCACCTGTGCACATTTTATTTTTGGCGCTATAACTAGAGATGAGCGAAGAAATGAAAAATTCGATTCGGCTGATTCGGCGAATTCCAGTGTGAAATTCGATTCGATGCGAATTTCTCCGCTACGAAGATGACTTATTTAAAGGGTTTCTAGGCTTCAGAGAGCCTTTAAATTAGTGCAGAACACTGTACCTTTAATTTAAATGCCCTTGGAGATGAGGAAGGAGAAGGAGAAGGAGAAGGATGAGAAGAAGGAGAAGGAGAAGGATGAGAAGAAGGAGAAGGAGAAGGATGAGAAGAAGGAGAAGGATGAGAAGAAGAAGGAGAAGGATGAGAAGAAGGAGGAAAGGAGAAGGATGAGAAGAAGAGAAGGAGAAGGATGAGAAGAAGAAAGGAGAAGGAGAAGAAGGAAAGGATGAGAAGAAGGAGAAGGATGAGAAGAAGGAGAAGGATGAGAAGGAGAAGGATGAGAAGAAGAAGGAGAGAAGAAGGAGAAGGATGAGAAGAAGGAGAAGGAGAAGGATGAGAAGAAGGAGAAGGATGAGAAGAAGGAGAAGGAGAAGGATGAGAAGAAAGAGAAGGATGAGAAGGAGAAGAAGATGAAAGAAGAAGGATGAGAAGAAGAAGGATGAGAAGAAGGAAAAGGATGAGAAGAAAGGATGAGAAGAAGGAGAAGGATGAGAAGAAGGAAGAATGATGAGAAAGAAGGAGAAAGATGAGGAAGAAGGAGAAGGAAGAAGAAGAGAAGGAGAAGAAGAAGATGAGAAGAAGGAGAAGGATGAGAAGAAGGAGAAGGATGAGAAGAGAGAAGGATGAGAGAAGAAGGAGAAGGAGAAGGATGAGAAGAAGGAGAAGGAGAAGGATGAGAAGAAGGAGAAGGATGAGAAGAAGAAGGATGAGAAGAAGGATGAGAAGAAGGAGGAGAAGGATGAGAAGAAGAGAGGATGAGAAGAAGGAGAAGGATGAGAAGAAGGAGAAGGAAGAGAAGAAGGAGAAGGAGAAGGATGAGAAGGAGAAGGATGAGAAGAAGGAGAAGGATGAGAAGAAGGAGAAGGATGAGAAGAAGGAGAAGGAGAAGGATGAGAAGAAGGAGAAGGATGAGATGAGAAGGATGAGAAGAAGGATGAGAAGGATGAGAAGAAGAGAAGGATGAGAAGAAGGAGAATGATGAGAAGAAGGAGAAGAAGGAGAAGGATGAGAAGAAGGAGAAGGATGAGAAGAAGGAGAAGGATGAGAAGAAGGAGAAGGAATGAAGAAGAAGGAAGAGGAGAAGGATGAGAAGAAGGAAGAAGGATGAGAGAAAGGAGAAGGATGAGAAGAAGGAGAAGGATGAGAAGGAAGAAGGAGAAGGATGAGAAGAAAGAGAGAAGGAGAAGGATGAGAAGAAGGAGAAAGGATGAGAAGAAGGAGAAGGATGAGAAGGAGAAGGAGAAGGATGAGAAGGAGAAGGATGAGAAGAAGGAGAAGGAAGAAGGATGAGAAGAGGAGAAGGAGAAGGATGAGAAGAAGGAGAAGGATGAGAAGAAGGATGAGCAAGAAGGAGAAGGATGAGAAGAAGGAGAAGGAGAAGGATGAGAAGAAGGAGAAGGATGAGAAGGAAGGATGAAAGAAGAAGGATGAGAAGAAGGAAGGAGAAGGATGAGAAGAAGGACAGTTCTGTGACAGTTTCTGTCTATTTCTGACAGTTCTGGGACATTCACTCCATACAGCGGTTTTCAACCGCTGTAGGGAGGGAATGTCATAGAACTGTCAGAAAATAGACTATTAATGACAGTTCTGGGACTGTCCTTCCATGCAGCGGTTGAAAACATTGTATGTATTTGTTTCCATAAATGGATCCATTTATGGAAACAAATACATACAAAACAAGATGTTTCAACCGCTGCATGGAAGGACAGTCCCAGAACCTGTCATTAATAGTCTATTTCTGACAGTTCCATGACATTCCCTCCTTCTACAGCGGTTAAAACAGGATGTATGCAGTGAATGTCCCAGAACTGTCATAAATAGTCTATTTCTGATAGATCTGGGACATTCACTCCATACAGCTATTTTAAAACCGCTGTATGGAGGGAGGCCTGTCATGGAACTGTCAGAAATAGACTATTAATGACAGTT